ACTAGGGATTTGGGTACGGGGGTACCCAAAACTCACGGATACCCAAATCACTGTGACAGGGGCCCTAGAGATTTAGAGCATTTTTCGGAAGGCGATATTTAGAGGAAAGCTATTTTTGAGAGTTTTCCAGTGCCTCACTCAGTGTTAGTCCCAATCCTCGCGTAAAGAAGAAAAGAGGAGGAGTTCCGATTTTTCTTATGAATCAGAAATAACTTAGCCTTCTTTATAATCGTACGAATGGAATTGTTGTTTACACGTAAAAGAGTAAAGCTACTATTAGAAAGTTTGTTAACACGGGTGTTTATTGCCTCATAACGTTTATGCTAATATGAGTTTCATGAAACCTACACGTAGCATTAAGCACCTAGACGTTCTTAATCTATTGACACTGATTAGCATTTTCAGATTTAGATACCTTTTAAGTTTCAGGGATTTTTTTGCGATTCCAGGGCTCTTCAATGGAACAAAAATGTGCAAAAATCTTATCCTTAGGAGGTCTGGTTTTCAAAATATGACGGCTAGAAACCTTTCTTAGCGAGAAATTCATGACCAATTACTAGTTAAGAAGGACCCCTCTCGCCCCCTCAGGTGAACATTTATAAAAACAAAATGTACCTATCGATGGAAAGCATATGTTTTACAAGAGTATAGCAAAAATCTTCCTCTCTCTAGGACGTTAACTAACCATCTTGCCCTTTGCGTACTTAGGCAAAAGTACCCTAACTGCATGCTCTGTTTTGATTTTTTGGTTTTGTCCTTTTACCCTTCTTAGATATTTAGTTTCTTTAACTATTTTTTTAGCTTTTCATTATTTCCCTATGTATCCTCTTAAGAACATAAAATAAAATTGAAAACCTCTGATTTTATTGTCATTGAAAAATAAAGATACATGAATTGAACATCAACATTCTCAAAGCAGAAAGTGAAACACAACATGATACTAAGCCGAGCACTGCCGCTGGTCACCTCCTTCCGGCTTTCTCCTCCAATATAATTATATATGCAAGTTAACCAATATTTTGAATGATATTTGTTCTTGAATGCATTTAGTCGGCATATCTCCCTAAGGGGAACAGTATAAGAGGTCCTTTTCAATAGTACCCACATCCTCGGAGACTCGGAGGCTACTAGGCAGGACGATGCGATATTTTCGGGCGAAAGTTTTCTTCAAGAGCAGACAAGCGCTTGTCTGCTCTTGAAATAAACTTTCGCCCGAAAATATCGCATCGTCCCGGCTAGTAGCCCCTGGGTCTCCTGGGATGTAGCTCCCATTGCATTGTTCTAAACGGTTGTCCAATCCATGTTGAGAAACAATTTTCTTCCTTCTAATACCGAGCAGCTGTCAGTTTCATCAGACAGTTGAGGCTCCTGGGTTTTGCTGCTTTCTTCGAATACCGCAGTGTCATCAACTTGATCGAAACCTCTCTCATGATCAGATAGTCCTTCTTCATTGTCCAATAAAGTGTCTCTTCCTTTTAGCCTTCGGCGACGTTTGCAGTAGAAAGTAAGGATGCTGACAGCAATGAGTAGAAGAAATATAGCTCCACTTGTTACAATAGCTAGGTCCGGCATTCTCGGGCCTGTGTTCAACAGAGAAAAAAGCGTTTTAACCTTCAAAAGAGCGAGGACATTTCCAATTTAATTTAATTTAATTTCATCCATTTTCACTGCATAAATCATAAGCAATAAGAAAACATACAAGCAATAAATTATATATTATTGAAAAGAAGAAAAGCAGCGAGGAAGGACCAGAAAGGAACCGTGACTAGAAATTAGAAATAATTTCTTACCATTAAATCAAACTGGTTCATGAATGAATTCATAAATGAGGTCAGAGAATTTGACTTGGCCTACTAGGAAAATGGCATTTTAAAGTTTTTAGTAGGTTTTCTTTTTATTATCGTGTTGTCATTATTAAAACTAGTGCAATTTATGATTCTGGTCTAAACGGTTGTTTCAGTATCAATTAAGATAGCACTTATTGAAACGAAGAGATTCCGAGGAAAAAGTATACTTAAAAATAGTCCGATCTATGAAAATGCTGCTTTATGAACAAGCGCAATATACCTATCGGTGTCATATGCCCTTGTCCAAGTACCGTTCTTATTCTAACCACTAAACCTTATTTTAATTCTTTCTCTAAACCGAAGCTATATTTTCCTTTCTTCCGTTTAGTAACATTCCTAGTGCAACTACTGTCTTTTAGTACCCTAACCTTGGGCCTTTTCATTGATGGTTAAAGGTCCAGCGTGTAATACCATCGTGACGTACTGTTCACTTTTTATTTTCTTGCTGACTCCACTGCAACCGATTCTACACAGGGATAGTCGGTCATCTTTCGGGCAGAGCAGAAATCTACAATGCACATAGAGTGTTCTGGACTTCTCGTTGCTGGATCCAGACACTCTGTAACTAATTGTCTGTGACGGGGATCTTGATTTAAACATGTAACCACACAATCCTGGTTTTCTTACGCAGCTGAAAGTCCAACAAAAGGTATATATCCGTGTAGCAGCTTTGAAATGGTAGAATTTACCGTCAAGAACTGATCTATTTTTTTGCATATGTTTTACTTCTCGTCTTTGCTATTAAAGACCATTAGTGACCAATGTTGGAATAGCAGATGAGTCTGTACCAAAGATCAAATGCAACTGTTTTTTCTTTTTGTTTTGTTTTTTTGTTTTTTCACTTTTTTCTTCAGCAAACCTGCGGGAGGCTGAAATAACAATGGAACGATATGACGAGGATTTCTCTTCAATGATACTCTCTTGGAGCAAATCCGTTGCAGGAGTTAATTAAACGAGTAAAGTGTTACAATTCGGAACTTTGCATTTCAATACTTGGGGCTAGGGAACTCCCGTATGAAAGCAGTGGGAGATAACGTCATATCTAACAGGGCGTTAAAATTTCTTAGTTTGGTAATATAATTGTGCTTTTACTGAATCTATAATGATCACAATTAGATGTATCCCGGCATTTTTTAGGGTGCTAAGGTATCAACAGACACCACCCTGTCAATAGCAACATGTCAGCAAAATTTTTGACTCTTAGTGATAAAAGTGAGTTCGAATCAAGCCCACAAAACGCGATTCTGGTATCCTTAACTGGATTTCCTTTCAAAGTTTTCAACGACCACCCCCATCAACTTTGTATGGGGGTCCCTTCCCAGGAGAAAAGTGAGGTAAACGAGGCCGAGGGTTTGCAACACAAGTAGAATTAAGTTGATATTTGTGTCTATAATAAAGTAATAGAGTCAATCTTACCCGTTCTCTATTAGCGTAACACCGTCCTTACTATAGAAGTTATCGTCCGGTGTAGCGCGGCAATCTTCGACCGCGATAAGCCTTTCTACAAGCCCCTGCCCTCTGCCGTTTGTTGATACCTGAGCTGTAAAGGAGACTTCTTCTCCTTTGTTCACAGTCTTTGTTTTTAAAGCCTGGAATGTTACCTTTGGAGGTTTAGCCTTCTTCGCTGAAAGAAAAAGAATAGGTTATTAGACCTACAATTACACTGTTTTTAATTTCCAAAGAATATTAACCGACTGTGAAAGTTGAACATCGTTTTGAAATTTTTGCTAGCGTTTGAGAATTTGATGATGCGTTGGTACAGTTATATTAAAGGGAGTTTCCTTTATTTTTGTACCATCTTACAATGTTACAAGGAGAACTTCTAGAACGCACAAATGAAATTATGTTCATTTATTTCGCTCTCTTGTAAAGATGGTCGCCATTTTGCCGTCGTGGGAAACACACCAACAGGATAGATGATACGGCTTACGTCCTATAATTATATAATTTTCCATATTACTTATTTAGCACCTCATCGGACGTGATACATAGATAACTAGCTG